TAACGGGGGCAAAGTTAGGATAACTTCTTAGCCACAACTAAGCACATTGAGAGAATGAGTTGCTAGGGCTGTGAGCTGGGGACCACAGTCATGGGGGACATTAAGGTCAACTGGCACAACAAAGTACACAAAAATGTTCTACATCTTACTTCAGTGAATAGTGATTGGGGTCTTAAAAGCTTGTGAGCAGCCATCTAAGATGCAACTACTCCTCCCCTCATCTGGAACAAAGAAGAGTGAAGAAAACAAAAGACACATGGGAACAGTTAGTCCAAAGGAATAATGAACCATGAAAGCCTCAGCCTATATGGCCCTGAGATGAGAAGAATGAGATGGTGCTCAGCTTCCAATGCCAGCTACTAGAAAAGGGATCAGAACTGGAGATCCTGGATAGAGTGGGAGAAAAAACGTGGAGTAAAATTAAAGGAATGTAATCAGGGTCACAAAACGAAAAAAATATATTTTTAAAAATCAATAGAATTAAGGAAACATATTGCATAAACAATAATACAAATCAGAAGCACAAAGGGGTAAACACTTCCAGGAGCTGGTAAGAGCAAAGTTCCAGTAATGGTCATGATGGTGCAAGCTGACTAGGAAGAAGGGAAGCTGAAGGGAGTAGATGAGTACATTTTGAGTCAAAGAAAGGGACACAGAGGCTTATGCTATCAGATACAAGAGTTCTGAGGGAAGACTACGCCCAGGGAGCAGGTAGTTGATGAGAATGGGATGCACCAAAAAACAAAAACAAAAACAAACTCACTGCCATCAAGTCGGATCTGACTCATAGTGACCCCTCCTTGGGTTTCTGAGGTGGTATCTCTATGGAAGTAGATTGCCCAACCTTCCTTCTGAGGAGTGGCTGTCTGGTAGGTTTGAACCACCAGCCTTCTGGTTAGCAGTCAAATGCCTTAGGCACTACGCCCCAAAGCTCCTCTGGAAAGCAGGAGTCATTGTAATTAAGAAGCTCAAACCTTAAGAGGCTGGGGTGAGATCAGTGGTCCTCATTAGGAGCCTCTCAAGATGCTGGCTGCAGTTGTAATGGAAATAATGCGAGTCATGGACCAAAGACTTGGAGGAATGTGGAGGAAGTGACCAACAGGTTAGGTGACGGTGCTGATGAACAAAGAGGAAGAGAACAGGGAAGGGAAAGCATGTTCATATAAAGGCAGAGGTGAAATAATGGTCTGGAAGAAACAGCAGGGAGCTGGGAGGCAAGCGGGTGGGACAGATAGAGCACCCTCCATCAGAGGGCCACTCCACGGAAGGAAGACTGGGCAATTGACTTCTGTAAAGATTTACCACCTCAGAAACCTAAAAGGGGTTGCTATGAATCGGAATTGACTCGATGGCAGTGAGTTTGGTTTGGTTTGGTCAGGCAAGAAGGAAGAGGATTTTGTGTTCCGTGAAGAGCTGGGAAGAGGAGCTGTTCACAAGAAATAATAGTTCCAACGGACCAAAGGCAATGAGTTGGAATGAAATCAAGCAGGAAAAAGAAGAGCCAGGCTGGAGGAAGAAACGAGCAGTATGGCCAAGAGAGGCCCTCTGTATTGTGGTGGTGCCTAAGGTCTGCGGGAATGAAGGAGGAATGGAATTCCCACCCAGCTCCACCCACCGGCCCCAAACCACAGAGTAAGAACCACTGTGTGCTCAAGCAGGACCTTGCCTTCCAGGACCACAGGATTCCTGGGCAGGGAGGTATCTACAGGAGAGCTGGCTTGCCTACAGTAATAACTCCCGAGCCATTTGCTTCTAGAAAATTCTGAGACTTCAAGGGAACAGAAGCCCCAAACCCTCAGTTGTTTTGGTTTACAGAGGAATAGTCTTCCCATTGCTCACTCCAGATCCATCCCCTCTATGCAAGGCCTATATCCTAGGCTCAGGATCCACAATGAAACCAGCCTTAAGAAATCCAGCTTTTTCTCTAAATGCTAACAGTTGCCCTCAAGTGAACAGCAGATGGTAGCAAAGAGCTAGAAAGATAGCAGAAGTTTAATAAAAGCCTAACACTGGCAAAGTAGAAGATGATGGGGCCCATCAAGTCTTGAGTGGGGGGCCAGGGGAGTAGGTGCTTAGATGCTTGTTCCATGACCTGGAGTCAAAGGTCTGCTCAATGAAAGTACTCCATGTGTCCAGTAAGCTAAATCCTCAATGAGCTAGGATGCCTAGGGGTTACTAGCAGTAACAAAGCATCATTTCTTTCACCTCATCAGTTGCGGAATGGTGCTACCAGTAGGATGTGCTCTATGAAGATAAAATTATCTTCCTAGAAATGATAAAGAAGGTGGACTGGGCTTTAGAAATCCTATCACGCTTCCTCAGTACCCTCGGTAGCACTTAATCATGCTGCATTATAATTGTCTATCTTCTGCAATAGACTCCCTGTGGATGGACTGCGCCTGACTCATTCATCTTTGATTCCCTACTATAAATGTTTGACATATAGTAGGTGTTCACATCAAATACATGTTGAATGCATGGCTGAATTGAGGTTGGAGGGTTTCCAGTCTGGTGTAGTTAGGAGACAGGCATCTGCCCTTTAGGACAGCAAGGTATATGGAAAAGAGCACCAGTTTTAGAGGGAATCTAAGATGAGTTTTAAATTCTGGCTCTGCTACTTATGGCTGTGGGCAAGGTACCTAACTTTTCTAAGCCTCGATCTTCCCCTCTGTAAAAGCACCACGGCTATTTGTGACAAACTACACTAAATATGTCAAGCACAGTACCTCACATATAGGAAACACTCAATGCAAAGTTGTTGCTGTCGTTAGGGGCGGTCGAGTCGACTCTGACTCACAATGACCCTATGTACAACAAACGAAACACTGCCTGGTCCTGTGCCACAATAAATAGCAATGTAAAGTAGTCACTGTAATTTACTGTGGTTATTATTACTACCACTATTATTATATCCTCTTCTTAGGGCCAGGGGAATTAAATTAGAATTAAGACTTACTTGGAATTAATCTTTTCTTCCTCAGTTCTTCCAAACAGACCACAAGGGCATCAGCCACTCCTAGAGAGTATGGCTTCCCAGCTTGTTTTTTGTTTGTTTGTTTGTTTTGGGTGAGTGGAGGGGGCTGCTTGGTATTTTCCATGTCAGCCCAGTCTATCCCAGCTATTTGACAGATGTTTATGGGCACTGTAGAGCACCAAAAGGCTTAAATAACAGCTGTGCACATTTGGCCAGAGCTCAGGGGTCCTTTTCACATATACCTCAGAACCCACGTAAAATGTGTGGTCTGGGTCTGGAACCTTGGGACAGCAGCCTGCCTGGTTCAGTTCAGAATGAGTGTATCTCCCAGACTTAGATATTAGGAGGTTGCTTCTTGCTTGTGCCATAGGAAATAGCACTGAGAAATGGTACAAGTCTCCTGGATATTGGGCTTTAGACATCCCTTAAAGTTCGGTGGGGAAGTACAGTTAGAACAAATTAAAAGGAAGTGTTCTTTAAGTGTGAGACCCCACGTGGCTGCACAGGGTAAAAATAGCTTCAAGGAATATTCAGACATGTCTATGGGAAAGAATTCTAATTGACAGAAACCAGGGCACAAGTGGTAAGTGTCAGGATGCTAAGTAGACTCCATGGAGATAAAATGGTGCCTATCCTCCAACATGTCCCTGAGTTGACTGCTTCATGTGGCTATCTCACAGCACAAGTTCTAAAGATTTACCAAATTCCTGAGTTAGAGGAAGCAAGCATATGTCAAGAAGCAGCCAAGACCAGCAGAACCCCCAAATCATCTTCCAGTGGGCTCAAGGGTCCATGTGCCCCATGCCATTTTCACTGCCATAGAGATGAAACCCCTACTGCCTGGATGGTCTACCAGAAATTTTCCAGTATCTCAGATGGAGAAGCTAGTGGCTAAGACTACAGCAGACTGTCTTCCAGTTATAGGCTCTTTCAGGAAGAGACAATACTGAGAAGGAATGGCTCTCACAACATGCTTAAAGGGAGACCTCATCCTCTTTAGACTACTACACAATAGAGGGAGGGGATAATTTAAGGGTCATTGTGAGGTCAGATCAGCTTCCTGTCTATGCTATCTCTGTCTACCAAGTTGGTGGTCTATCACTCAAGACCAAATTAAGGTTTTCAATGGTTTATCTTCCCTCAATCCCATAATCCCCCCAGTCCCTGGGCCTTTTTGCCCCTTTCAATACCTTTGGTTCTGAGAAGAGCATTATAATGAACATGAGCACAAGGTCCCTCTCATGAGAGAACTAAGTGGTGTCACTCTCTTCTTCTACCCTATTTATACTGCATATTGAGGCAGGGCAGGGCACAAGCACCAAAGAGTGGCATAGTGTAGTAGGTTCCATGCAAACCCAACACCTCCACAGACAAAGAGCACAAAGCCAAGGCCCTATGACAGGCAATCAGCAGTACCATGCTCACCCAGAAAGGATAGTTCAGAAAAGCCCTCAGACTCTTTGCAGGCCTTATCCATGCCCATTTTCCTACTGCCTCATGTCAGGAATGAAGCATGCTGAATAAACTCAGCCAAACAGCAGCTCAAGATCCCTGGTAGGCACCCAAGAGGTTGTGACTTCCAAAAACAGAAGAGTGGTGTCATAGGGGTGGGGTTTGCTGGCCTTACCTCCTTTCCACAGCAGGTAGATGGGCACCACGTAGAGCATAACATGCTGAATGTAGTAAATCTCCAATTCAAAGGGAAGCTGTAAGAATGGGAGGGAGAGAAGTGTTTCAGAGCAGGAAGCACTCATTTCAGTAGGTTCTCAAGTTGAACACCCTTGATCTTTAGGACCCATACTTTGAACAATCTCATGCATTCCACCAGTTCACCTCCTTCACAATTAAGAGGAAAACATGAAATTAACGTATTTATGACCTATGTCGCATTTTCCATAGTGTATTCTGTAGAGGTGGTCCTTGAAAATTACTCCGTTAAAATTTTGAGAATTGTTACATGATATATATACCTCCTCTTAGAGGGTTACCTTATGTGTTGGGGTATTAAGGACCTAAGTTGTCCCGACAGTAAGAAAACTGCTTAACATTGGTTATCCTAATGTTTCTCAAACTTATTTAACCAGTGACTTTTTTCTATTAACATTCAGTATTTTGCAGAATATACTTGAAGAAACAAAAACCTTTGTCACTTCCTGGGAGTTCTGGTAGCATAGTGCCTAAGGCACTTGACTGCTAATCAGAAGGCTGGTGGTTCAATCCCACCAGCCACT